CCCAGCCAATCAGACCTGACCCTGCCTCCGAGGCCACGCCCACCCCACTGCTCACCAGCTTAATGGGCAGGAATTGAGTCACGCAACCACCACTCTTATTCAGACTGCAAGAGCCAACCTTCATTTACATCTTTTTTTAAATTATTTTTATGAAGTTCAGAAAGAGATCAAAATTACATGTGTGGAAATGCCTCGTCGGGTGTAATTCACGAGAACGACAGAGACCGAGAAAAAGAGAGAGCAGTGAGGAAACGGGTCGGTAAGGGGGATGGGGGGTAACCATAAAACCTGGTCCATGACCAGCCACAACTTTTTTTTTTTTTCATTCTCAGAGGACAATCTTGTTATGTAAGCAATCCGGTAGCCAGATCCATCCACTTCCGTTTTCATTTGGGCACCCCTTCTCTCACCTGGACCGTCTCTAGCTACACGTTCTGTCCCTTTATCCTGTCCTGGGCCTTTAATAGTGCATGGCTTGAATTTGGTTGGGAGCACCCCTTGTATACAGTACATATATATATACATATAGCGTGTATATACATATATATGTATATGTATTGGGTGAAAACGATGCAAGCATTCAAAACTACAAGAAATACCGTATCTAATCGTATCTAACAAACACAAGGCACCGTACAAGTGGTATAAATATAAAAACCGCATGTTCCAACCACAAAGACAACAGAGGAATACTCTGTTACAGGAGTTTTAAGTCGGCTGAATCTATTTTATCTTGTTTTATAAAATGGGCGGGCTATAGGGCAAGGGCAGACATTTTGATTGACAGGTGAGACGTGCGTCTCCATCTCTGTGTTCTTGTATGATATATATACATACACAGTTTATATATTACTTTGCATTATGTAAAATAAATATATATATATATATATATAGTTATATATAGATCTATATCGAGCATCATCGGTTCAGAATCCATCGGTTTTTTTCAGCGCAGCGGCTGACCGAAATGATACAGTATGTGTATGACTAAGAGTCTTCTCTGCTGTTTTCTGTTAGCCTGGTAGAATTAGAGATCACCTTCTGTCCCGGTTTGCTCTCGTTATTTATTGTCGCGTGCGCGTCAGTGTCGTAACACTCAGATTCATTGTTCTTATCCACACAGCTAAGCGTAAAGAACACATGAAGAAACGCATCGATGTGGCGCCGACTTCAGAGACTGTGTTTGCGCTCCATTCACAGTGGCTGTGTTGTTTTAACCACTACTTTTTTCTTGTCATGTCTCAGTGTAACTTACAGAAAAATGTACTTTTTTCTTTCCCAAAATGTCTTAATACGCAAAGTATAGCAGTATAAGAAAACGACAGACGTGTATATACAGTACAGCACAGTTGCTCCTCACCAAATTCTGGCTTTTACTTATGTTTTGATTTTTGTATAATTTGTGAGCGCGTATGAGTGAGTGAGTGTTCTGCTATGTACATAAATATGCTGACCTGAGAACTGTTCATGAGCGAAAACAAAGACGAGGGATTAAATGAGAACGGATCAAAGAAAAAAAAAAAAAAGTCAAAAAATTAAAAACCGATTTAAAAGATCAGGGCAAACATGACCTGTTTGTTGGATACTGTAGACAAGGAGCTTTCTCCAGCCATATAGTTCAGTCTTATCTGTACAGTAGGTGCCAGCTATATTATTGTAACTATAACTAGTAATGTATAGTGTATCTATAGTTTGGAGTGCCTTTGCTTCCATACCCTTCCTGTTCCTAGACCACACCCACTTCCTGTCCACACACAAGACAGACCACACCCCTTCCTGTGACCCTCTGCAGGTGCAGTTGATTGGCCAAGTCTGAATGACTGACAGCCGACTTCATTTCCTGTCCGAAACCACATTCGCTGTAGATGTTTTTCCTAATTTTTTTGGCACAAAGGTGTTTTTGTGTGTGGAGGAAGTCACGTTCCTGTGGAGCCAATCACAATGTATGTTCTTACACTCGTTCCACTACCAAAGTGAACCAACTATGAGCGTGTTGTGATGTGACTGCGACATCCCAGGGGCAATAATAATGATTTCTTTGTGTTTTCGCTCGTTGGCCAGCTGACGGTACGCAGTAGAGATGTCACGTAGCACCCGCCGGACCCTCAATGTAAAGCTTGCTTGTAAGATACGCATTCATAGATGTGTTGCTTTCCACGAATGGTGTGACCACTTCTCGTGACTAAAGTTAGAGTAAAAATGTAAAGACACAAGGGTTAAAAACAATTACCAAAATAAAAAAAAAAGACAAAAAAATTGTTTTAAGGACTGTGGGCTAAATACAGACTATCGCATTACGTACACTTATTGGGGAAAACGTTGTCTTGGTTTAAAACGGAAAAAAATACAACCTGTATAACATTAATATTACTTGAATGCCTCTGTTTGTGACTGAAATTTTTATTTTATTTTAAATATATTCTTTTTCTGTGAAGATATGCTAAATGTCTCCTCTCCTTGTAAATATGTCCGTTTTGGTCCTTGGTGTGACTTGGATTCAGAGACTAGTTACCTGGTACTGTAATTTGCATTAAATAAAGAGTAGGATAGCTTGGAAATGACCCTGCATTTGCCACGCGTCTTTCTTTTCCCAACTCAAAATGTCCCTAATCTCAAATTCAGTCCATTTAGACTAAATTAAAGTGCAATTAAATGTCTCTCTTTTTTCATCACTCTTCATTCCTAAGATGTTTAAAAGTGATTCTCGTAAGTGCCTGGGTTCAAATAAAACATACTTTAAATGAATTGTAAGTGGCTTTGGGATAAAAGCATCTGTGTTACACTACTGTGCGAAAGTTTGAGTCAACTTTAGGGTCAATTGACCCTTTGCAAGGAGTTTGATTGACAGGCGATCTGACCAATCATAATGCCGAATCTGCCATTTTGTCCGACAAACAAACCAGACAGGAGAGTAGATTAACGTTGGTGGACTTGAACTTGAAAAACTGTGCGCATTTCCGCAGTTGAAACAAGATACCTTCTGATGTTCATTCATGTTTATTTCATGCTATAACTAGTAAAGAGGAGATGATCGCTTCATGTGCCTGAAGGATCATGTGACACTGAAGACTGGAGTTATGATCCTGAAAATTCAGCTTTGCATCACTCTTTTAAATATATTAAAAGAGAAAACAGTATTAAATTGTAATATTATTTCACAATATTACTATATTTGTGATCAAATAAATGCAGCTTTCTTTTTTAAAACTATTAAGTTACACAGTAAAAGATTCTGCACGCATTCTCATTCAATTTTAAATTTTATTTTCCTGAGAGGGTCATACACTGGGTCTTACTTTGAAAATAACCACTGTAAAGACTGAAAAACCTGAGTGTATTGTGTAGAAATTACTCGTATTGTGACAAGTTTCCTCATCATATTGCAGACAGAATGAAATAACTGCCTAATCTACATAGCATGCCAACCTGAAGGCATTTTAAACGAGTCTGTGCTTTATAGAGACACCTGAAATCTGAATACTCTGCTTGTATTTGAGTAAAATATGTGAGAGTCCTTTCCAAAAAAAATACTGAACTCCTAGTTTGAACCCTCAACATCTGCTCTACATTGTCATGTCACATCCACATATGACACTAGCTCACAATCTTTACATTGATTGTCACGGTTAATTAACCTTTTTAGCTTCATTGACAAAACTAACCAGAAAAGGTAAAAATGACCTTTAAAGGAGTAGTTAGTTCACTTCCAGAACAAAAATTTACAGATAATGTACTCACCCCCTTGTCATCCAAGATGTTCATGTCTTTCTTTCTTCAGTCGTAAAGAAATTGTTTTTTGAGGAAAACATTTCAGGAATTTTCTCTATATAGTGGACTTCTATGGTGCCCCCGAGTTTGAACTTCCAAAATGCAGTTTAAATGTAGCTTCAAAGGGCTCTAAACGATCCCAGCCGAGGAAGAATGGTCTTATCTAGCGAAACGATCGGTTATTTTCTAAAAAAAAAATAAATAAATTACATTTTATATACTTTTTGACCTCAAACGCTCATCTTGTCTAGCTCTGTGCATTCCGGTTCATGACAGTTAGGGTATGTCGAAAAACTCCCATCTCATTTTCTCCTCCAACTTCAAAATCGTCCTACATCACTGTTTACCTTTTTTTTTTATATAAAGGACGTTTGGTCTTCTTTGCATGTTCACTTTGTAAACACCGGGTCGGTACTTCTGCAGCAATGTAGGACTATTTTGAAGTTGGAGGAGAAAATGAGATGGGAGTTTTTCGACATACCCTAACTGTCTTGAACCGGAAAAAACAGTTCACGCAGAGCTAGACAAGACGAGCGTTTGATGTTAAAAGGTATATACATTTTTATTTTTTTAAGAAAAAAAAAAGGCCTTTAGATGCTTTTTTTTTTAGAGGTTTAGAGCCCTTTGAAGCTGCATTGAAACTGCATTTTGGAAGTTCAAACTTGCGGGCACCATAGAAGTCCATTATATGGAGATAATTCCTGAAATGTTTTCCTCAAACATAATTTCTTTACGACTGAAGAAAGAAAGACATGAACATCTTGGATGACAAGGGGGTGAGTACATTGTCTGTAAATTTTTGTTCGGGAAGTGAACTAACTACTCCTTTAAAAGCTATTCTGAGTCTGCTTAGTAAATTTGCTTTAAACCCTGAATGTACTAAGTGAAAAAGGTTACGCTCACTGCTGAGTGAAGCATTTTAAAGGCAATGACTTCTCAAGAAAGTGTCTGTGTGATGAACTTTTGCAGCCTGTCTGATTCTTCAGAATTGTAGACATTCATATGTTGCGCAAAATTCTGAAAGCTCTGTTACTAATATAAAACATTCACAGCAGACATGAAAGGACTAGCTAGCACAACTCTTTTGATACCCAGCGACACATCAGAGTGAATCTCACAAAACCTGACAAGAACTTATCCAGGTCCAAAAATAAAATGCCCATTTTGCATAAAAGTAAGCCTATTTTTTTTATTACTGTAAAAAAAAAAAAATCTGATTGCAATAATAATGGCTAAAAAATAGGCTTCATTTATTATGCAAAACATGTTTTTAAATAGGTAGAGTAAATTAAGACCGGAACATGTTCTTTATGAGATTCATAACTCCATTTACATTCTAGTCTGAAAAATGTTTGAATCAAATACAGCTACTCACATCTGACATTAGCACTGATATTATATATGAATATTTTTTACATAACCTGAACACAACATAGCCTACCTAGAAGCGGTTAACTTATAAAACTATTTGCATTTAAAAACGAACAATAAATAAACAGATTTGTCAAGACAGACTATTAACACAAATGACTAATATGTATCATATTGTTGTTTTTTTTGTATGTTTGCTGCCATAATAGCGTTCATCTCCTCTCTACATACTGCAGACTGGGGAAAAAGTGAATCGAATCTCAATCTAACCCCACATTTCAAGCTTCACTCATACAGTGAATGTAAGAGATAATACGTGCCGTCCTACATCTGGTTATGAACCATAGAAATTGTTCTTTTGTGAAAAGATCCCGAAAAAGATTGCTGGAACACAAATACATTTAGTAGCACAATTATAAAAATACAATTTCACAATTCCTGTGTGCTGCAGACAGTTCAGTAGTTCATTATCAGTAGGCACAGTCCTTGTCCTCGCTGGTTTTGACTGTATTTCAGTCCTCAGATGAAGGTCAGCGTGGCGGCTGATAGCGAGTTCAAGGCCGTTGAGTCGAGTCTCATCTGCTCTGTGAAGGCTTAGATGTCTTTGCTTATTATTTCCAGTAAAAGCGGAGACACATCAGGCTGAATGTCTTGGATTTTCAGCAGTTGTTTTGTATACTCTTCATTCATACTCCTCATCTCGGTCAGGCACTCCATGATCTTTGGGTACAGCAGACTGGCAGGAGGAGAAGGTTCAAAGAAAAGTGCAATCAAAGATTTTTTTCCCCTATAGTGAGACAGAAATAAAGCTTTCTTACTGTTTATTTGGCTCGGACCGCTTGGCCTCAATGTAGGTCTTCAGGGTGAGTGCTACTATTTCCTGGTTGCGGTCAATCATGTTGTGATGTGTCACGCCAGGGCGATCTGGGGACACACACACACACACACACACACACACACACACGTGAGAGGTGAAAGAGCTGGCTGTGTGTGTTCGATATGTATGTTGAACTTCATCTGAAGTACCTGGTGAGAAGAGCGAGATGGCCTGCATCAGCACATACTCCTCTTCATGTAAATGCAGCTTGCGCAGAGCGTAATGGAAATTCATCATAGGGTCCAGCAGATGGCGGTGGACACACACACACACACACACACACACACACGTGAGAGGTGAAAGAGCTGGCTGTGTGTGTTCGATATGTATGTTGAACTTCATCTGAAGTACCTGGTGAGAAGAGCGAGATGGCCTGCATCAGCACATACTCCTCTTCATGTAAATGCAGCTTGCGCAGAGCGTAATGGAAATTCATCATAGGGTCCAGCAGATGGCGGTGGAAACCAGCTGGCCAGTGAGGGAGGAATGAAGGGAAAAATGTCAAAACATGGGAAAGGATAAAGTGTAAAAAAAGAAAGAACGAGACAGACTGATGCAGGATGACTACTTCTAAATGCCTTCAGAGCATGTGCAGTACATGCTGCAAGGTGAAAAAAAATTACCCTAGATTCAATTTTAAGAGGAGATTCATTTTCATTAATACAAATGAAATCAAATAAAATATAAATATTAGGAAAACCTGAAATTAGTAAACGTAGATGAAACTAAAAACGTATAAATATTGCCTTGGCAACTAATTGAAAATTAGTTTCATTTATGCCGAGTTCACACTACACTCGTCGGATCGGCATTGTTTTCACACTGCGTGACTATCTGGGGTAGCATTCAGTTGCTGCTGTGTTCACATTGCACGATGGATCGGCGACAGGGGGTTTCACACTGCACGACTTCACAATAGGAAGAATCGCCGACAGCTCTGTCTGGTCCGCAAACTACGTTTCACAACAAAACACACGCGAGAAGTGATAAGGAAATAAAGCAAGAACCCGCGTGCGTCAGACCGGAGTTCTCCAGCAAGACTGTAATTATTAAAAAAAATTACAATGCCGAGTTCACACTGCATGATTTTAGCCCGCTTTTTCACTCGCCGACAGGTTTTGCGAAATCGCCGACAAATGCCCGAAATCGGAGGCAAATCGGTGCTTGTTCAACACCGATCCAGTGACATTC